AGGGCCTGGGCTGCGCGGCGGGCGCGGGGGGTGGTGGCCGGGGCGACGCGGCCGAGGCGGCGGACGAGCGCTTCCCGGCCTGCATCCGCGACGCCGTGTCGCAGGTGCTGAAGGGCTACGACTGGAGCCTGGTGCCCATGCCGGTGCGCGGCGGCGGCGGCGGCGCGCTCAAGGCCAAGCCACACGTGAAACGGCCCATGAACGCCTTCATGGTGTGGGCGCAGGCGGCGCGCCGCAAGCTGGCCGACCAGTACCCCCACCTGCATAACGCCGAGCTCAGCAAGACGCTGGGCAAGCTGTGGCGGTGAGTGCGCTGTCGGGGGAGGGCGGACCGCGGGGGCCCTGGCCGGGGACGCAGGGCTGCAGGAGGTGGTGGCCGCGCGCCGGCCTCGGGCTCTGCTCCCAGGACGGTTCCCAGGGCTGTCGTCGGAGTGGAAAAACACCCTCTGGCTAGCCGGGACCAGTGCCATGGAGTGTGCACCCTGGAGCACAGTCCCCCATGCGGGGACACCCTGTCGAGGACGGTGGCTGGCACAGCGGGGTACCCCAGCGCTGGGTGGAGGCCTGCAGGGCGCAGGAGCAGGCGGCATGTTGCTCTCTGGAAGTGCCTCGTCCTTCCTCCAACTCTGCTGACTGCCCTTGGGGAGAGAGTCGGAAAGGCAGATAGATGGAGGGGTATAGGTCTGCCCGCTGGCACCTTCCCCCAGCCTCTCCTCGGCTGCTTCTGCCCCGCAGCACGGAAGCAGTGCGGGAGAAGAGGGTGTCCTGCAGTCACGCTCTGTGCACGCTTCGGCGTGGCAAAGCCGGTCATTTTTGCAGAAAGTAGGACAGCAGCAATGAAGAACTTGTAGCTCAGGACAGCCCAACCCCTCCAAACGTCCTCCACTTGGGTTTATAATGGACGGCTTTGGGTTTGGGGCTCTGGCTCCCCGTTCCCTGCTCCTCACCTGGTGAACTTGGAGCTTGTGTATGTGTTGTTCCTGCCTCCTGTCTGGATCTGGGGCACAGCCACTGGGCGTTGTGGACTGGAAGGCCCCGCACCCCGAGCCCTGCCTCACAAGCAGTTACAGGGGAGCTTTTGGAGGAGTCTGAGGGGCGTGTGTGTTCTGAGGCTCAGTGAGGACAAACGGCTGGGTTTTGCCAGTGTTTGTGGAAGTCTGGGAGTAGAGGGACAGCAAGCCAGTTGCCCGCTGGAGTCCGGCATGGTTCCCGGGAAGCCTCGCTTTTGTCCGCAGTGTAATTCTCATTTGGCCCTGCCCGCCTCCTGCCTCCCTTAGGAAGCCCCGAAGGGAGGACAGGCAGACTTAGAAAGGGGAGAAGTAAAAGGAGGAAGACGGAGAGTTTGGATCTTGTTGCCCCGGCCTTTGGCAGCGAGGCTGCAGCCTTCCTGTTCTCACAGACGGGAAGCACCTGCCTGGTGCCCAGGGGGCTCAGGGAAGGCACAGCAGGTTTCCCTGGTTGGGGGTGTCCTGGCCTCTCCCAGCGCCTCGAACATCTGATGCCGGCTCCCAGGGCGGCATACACTTGGGTGCTGGCTGGACCTTGGGCAGCACCAGGCGCCGTGGCTATCCCTGCCTCCGTCTATGCTCTGCAGGTTGCTGAGTGAGAGCGAGAAACGCCCCTTCGTGGAGGAGGCGGAGAGGCTCCGTGTCCAGCACAAGAAGGACCACCCGGACTACAAGTATCAGCCGCGCCGAAGGAAGAGTGTGAAGACGGGCCAGAGCGACTCTGACTCAGGCGCCGAGCTGGGCCACCACCCCAGCAGTGCCATGTACAAAGCCGACGTGGGCCTCAGTGACACACACCATCACGGCGATCACACAGGTGGGCTCCAAGGCCCCCGTAGCAGCTGAGAGTCCCTGGTGGGAGAAGGCAGCAGTGGGCATTCTGGCCGTGGCTAAGATGAGTGATAGTGGCAGGGGAGAGCAGGGCTCATTCCCAGGGTACCCTGAGAAAGCCCCCAAACCTCCAGTTGCAGCCAATTCTGATACACAAGTGGGCCCTGCTTAGGCACCTCCAAGCGCTGAGAATTCAATAACTCTGCTTGGTCCTGTGTCCAGTGGGGGGGTGTTTTCAGCAGAACTCACCCACACACACCTGCCAGTTTCCAATGTGAGATGCTGCTGGCACGGTGGTCTGCAGCCCCAGCTTAAGGATCAGACTGACCGGGGTGGAGTCTGGCCAATCTGGCCAAGCGGGCTTGGTCAAATTGGCATAAGCCATGAGCCTGGTTTGCTTGGCTGTGCTGGGGAAGAAGGGTTTAGTGTGGATTCCCTGTGGTCGGGTGCACAGGGCCAAATGCTAGCTCTGGTTGAGCCAGGCCTGCCGCCTTCTTTCCCCAGCCTTGGCCTTCAGGGAGGGGCCTCGGGTCTTCCCGGAGAACAGCGCTTCACAGAGTTTTCTCAGCCAAGGAGTGAGGTGGGGCTTGACTCTGCTGGAATTTCTGGGAAATGTAAAGGAACAAAAAGCTGTTGATTCCTACCTGTGGCAGTTACCTCCCGTTCCTCCCTGCCAGCACCCCTCCGCCCCCACAGAAGGGGCATTCATCCCTGAAATGTGCTCTCCTCCTCAGGGCAGACCCACGGGCCGCCCACCCCGCCCACCACCCCCAAGACGGACCTGCACCACGCCGGCGGGGGCAAGCCGGAGCTGAAGCTGGAAGGGCGCCGCCTGGTGGACAGCGGCCGCCAGAACATCGACTTCAGCAACGTGGACATCTCGGAGCTCAGCAGCGAGGTCATCAGTAACATGGACACCTTCGACGTCCACGAGTTCGACCAGTACCTGCCCCTCAACGGCCACTCGGCCATGCCCGCAGAGCCTGGCCAGGCTGCCACCGTCTCCTATGGGGGCACCTCCTACTCGCACTCCGGGGCGTCCCCCGTGTGGGCCCACAAGGCTGCTCCTTCAGCCTCAGCTTCGCCCACCGAGGCGGGTCCCCCGCGGCCACACATCAAGACGGAGCAGCTGAGTCCCAGCCACTATGGCGACCAGCCACACGGCTCGCCTGGGCGCTCCGATTATGGCTCCTATAGCGCTCAGGCCAGCGTCACCCCAGCCGGCCCTGCTGGGGCTGCCAGCTCCTTTGCCAGCTCTCAGTGCGACTATACCGACCTGCAGGCCTCCAACTACTACAGCCCGTATCCCGGCTACCCGTCCAGCCTGTACCAGTACCCCTACTTCCACTCGTCCCGCCGGCCCTACGCCTCACCCCTGATCAACAGCCTGTCCCTGCCACCTGCCCACAGCCCCCCCAGTAACTGGGACCAGCCTGTGTACACCACCCTGACCCGGCCCTGAGGGCGCCGTGCCCACAGGGAAGGGACTCACATGGCAGAGGACAACCTTTTCTCAACAATGACAGACCAGGCGTCGGGTCTCCTGGAAGGTGTGTGCTGGCGAGGGGTGCCCACCCGGCCGCGCGCGCTCTGTCAAGTGCCTGCTGAAGTCTGTGTGAATCCAGGCTTTGTCACCACATCCCTCTGCCTCCAGGCCTGCAGACTTTTGCCAGCAGACAGAACTCCCTTTTCCTCCTCTCTCTCTTTGAGGCGATTAGTGATTTTGAAATGAAGGATGACTGGTCCCTCTTCTGTGAGGACCTTGATTCTGCATCTCAGCAGATGAGAAATGACAGCCACAGCACAAAGGACAGACGGGGGGTATAGGCGTGAGGTCTCCAGGCCCGTGCATTCTGCGGTCCTGGCCAGCATTGCTTTTAGAACCCCCAGTGCCGATGGAGGATGAGCCCGCGACGACCGCGTGTCTGCAGACGGGCATGCTTCCACGCCCACCCGCGCATCTGTTAGATCCGAGGTGTTCCTTGTAGTGAGATTCTTCCGAGAAAGGTTTGGCTGTGATTAACACTTCTCTTTTATTTTTTTGGTAATTTTTATTTTTGAAGCTTAAACGTGTTTGTTTTGAAAGCTGTTAAAGATGTATTTATGTTCTGTATTATTTTATCATTAACTAATGAAGTAATTTGTGCAGAGAGTAGAATTTAAGAGAAAGTGAAAGCTGGGGAATGAAAAGCTGCTGGAGGGGGTAGGAGGGGAGGTGGCCCGGCATGGCGCCACTCAGCTTTTGGGTAGTGGCCTCAGAGGGCCCCCGAGTTCCGCAGTTCCCCGGAGGCCTTGGCCACTCACACCTCACGCCGTGCATCCAGAAACGGGAGGGAGGAGAGGGTTTTGCCTTGTGCTGTCTCTGATCAGGTTGGGGTGCCCTAGGCACCTGGTATGAGGTTGGGGTCCGGAAGGCAGGAATTTCGTCCTTGCCCACAACTGTGCCAAGTGGTAGAAGACGGGACTTTTCTGGGAAGTGGTAGCCACAGAAACATGATAATCTTGGCTCTTAGGTACCAGGCGCCACCTACCAAGCTGTGAAACTAAACCTTCTCCACTAAACGTCTGTAGGTTCTTAGTTTTAGACGCATAATATCTGATTTACCTGTTCTGCTTCCGTTCTATGCTGAGCATATGTTAACCGCCTACTTCATGGAAACTTGTGCCTTTAAAACTTTGTAAATTTAAATACATTTAAGAAGTGGCTTCTTTTTACTTTTTCTATTTTTCCTACCTTTTTCTAGCAAAAGAACCCTTTTTTTTGCGTGTCTCTTCTGGGGTGGGGGTGGGGAGCTGCCGCAGGCCTGCTTTCTGCAACCGTTTTTCTGTCAAGTTTGGAAAGACCTGTTGACATGCCTTCTGTGTCTTGCTACATTCTGACCAAGCAACGCTAACTTTTGTACAGATTGATTTGGTAAAATTAAAAAGTGCTTTTTATCTATGTGGTGGGTTTCGTGTGTTGCTTTCTGTGAGCGGGGCCAGGGGGACTGGCAAAGGCGAGGTTAGAGCTCTGTCCCTGTTTCCCTCAGCTGCGTGTTAGCCCCAGCCACCCTCTGAGCCTGCCATTGTGCTGGATGTGGAGGCTGTGGCCTGAGAGCCCACCTGGATCCCCCCGGGGGCAGGGGCAGCTCCTTGTCCCCAGGAGGCGGCTGGATCACCATCCCCCGCAGGCGCTGAGTCTGAATTTAAACAGGCTTTAGCCGATCCCATATCTGATGCCTCTGGGAAGTGGGCAACGATCTTCCTTCTTGGGGGGCCTCCTCTATCGGCAAAACAGGTCCAGATGGGCCAAACTGGGGGCTGTGTTTTTGCTTCCAGGAGAGTCCCAGGACTGGTTTCTGGGTGGCTGTGCAGCGCCAGGAGGCTGACGGCATTTTTCAGGGCCTGGCACGCAGCCAGACTGGGAGCAGGATGAAAGCCGCCCTGCGGGAACTGGGCAGAATTGTCTGGTTGGAGGAAAGTTTCTAGGGAGAAAATGGTTGTGGGGAGTGATGGCAGGCAGGGGACAGCCTGGTCCCCTTGCCAGGGCTGGGGACTGGCCACTTCTGGCTGCACAGACCCAGCTTCTCCAGGCATTTTGATCTGGGGGTGGGAAGAGGATTATGCTTCTTATGAGAACCCCGACACAAGACGCAGCTGCATCTGCAGTGTTAATGGGGGGTCTGGGTAGGGGGCACCCGCCCCATCCCCTCGCCTGCCCAGCCACCCACATCCCATGCCCTGCTCTGAGCAGCCCAAGTCCAGGTCCCACCAAGAACAGCCTTTGGAAACAGCTGCCTGGATTTACAAGGGTGCTTGAGGCCTGAGGTGTGCCAAGGCCCCTGGGTGAGGATGATCCTGGAGAGGGGGCTGCCGAAAGCCAAGTTCACAGACGTGTATGGCCTTCAAGCCTGCTGTCTGTGTGGAGCCCACCCAGCCCGTCCCATGTCCAGCCAAGGGCTGTCCAGGTCCGTATGGCCCTCAAGGCTCAGGCAGTGACACCCCAAACCAAGGAAAGCTCCATGTGCCACTAGCTGACAAAGAACCGAGGCTCCTGGCTGCAGCAGGATCACTTTGGGGCTTGCCAGGTTCCCAAAGGCTGGACAGTCCTGCCAGTTTTGTTTGGACTTGGCAGGGCTCCTGAGTGTTTACTCCTGGGGGCCCAGGCCCTTCTGTCACACAGCCCTGTCCTGGGGACAAAACACCCCCACAGCCCTGGTCCCCGGTGTGCCTCTGTGGGTTTTCCTGTGTCTGAGTTTTGCAAAAAAGGATGACCACCATTGTCGTGGTGAGTCCACACCCATGTCTGGGCTGAGGGCACAAGGACACCCCCTCCCCTTGTTGCAGGAGCCCCTGCACTTTGTCCCTGCCACTCCCATCTCCTGGGCTCCTGGCCTGCCTGGGCTGGTGGCTTCCCTCCTCCTGCCCAAGGCCAGTGGTCCTGGGGATCTTCAAAGGCCGGGTCCCCCAGTGCCTCAGTGAGGAGGCAGCCAGGGTGGATAGCTGACCTGCTCCTCCCGGGGTGTGGGTTTTGCAGGAGGGGATGCATCGTCGAGAGCCCCTGCTGATGACGTTATTTCCAAGGCCAGCCTCGGCCCCACCTGGCCCCAGCCCCTGCCTCTCCTGAGCCCGATTCTCAGTGAGAACGTCCATCAGCCCTTCCCAGGACAGGTCAGTAGGAGAAGATCCTCACCCAGAGCAGAGAGCGCCGCCTCTGACGCAGTCGGCTGAGCAGAATGCCCTGTTCGGACAGAAGGGGGAATGGGGCCAGTGCCTGCCCTGGCTTCTGATAGGCTGGAGAAGCCCCTCCGCTCTCCTGCAGTGTCACCTTCAGGAGAGGGTTTTGTTTGGGTCTCAGCTCCCAAGAGGGCCTGTGTCCTCCCAGCAGCCACCCGGGAAAGGCCCATGGCCCACTCACCAGGCCTCTCCCAGGGAGTCAGATTTGGGGCCTGCTTGGCCTGCGGCAGCGTTAAACCCAAGATGGGGCTGTCATAAGTTGGGGTCCTGGCCTGGTGTCTGGGCCCCAATATTCCCTCCCCAGTGTCTCTCCAGACACACAGGGCCACCTGTCCTGCCAGGATAGGTCACCCCTGTTTACTGTCTCTGGCTGCATCAGATTTGCTGGGGCTGCTGTCTATGATATCGGGCTTGGGGGACACGCTTCTGGGTGGTCCATGCACACTCTGGGTGGACGGCTGGCTGGGACACATTCTGCCAGGCTCCATGGCAAGCTTGCGCTAGCCAGGACCCAGTCTCAGAGTGCCAGCCACTCAAGCAAAGAATTGTTTCCGAGGGAAGGAGGCTCACAGCTGAACGCTGTGTCCCAATGTCGGCTCTCTGGGCCCTTCCTGTAGGATGAGTAGACATATCCAGCAGGTGACAGAAGCCAGAGCCCAGCTTAGATCCCTCTCTGCTCCAGCCCTGCCCCCAAAGATACCTGCTTCCCCCTGTTGAGACCAGAAGTCCCCTGGCTCTGCTCCCTGCAGCCTGGCTATGCCAGCCGCATCGTGATGGAGACCCCACATTCCCAAGAGTCACCGGGGAGGGGCATGGGGGAGCGGCCACCCTCTCATCTCCCCACTTTTGTGTTGGAGGTGGCATCTCCTAGCTCCCCTTGCTTTCCCATCTCATTCAGGGCTGACCTTCCCACTGCTGGGGTCCCCTGTGTCCTCCAGGAGCAGGTCTGCATATGACGTATCTCCACGGTGGGGCTGTGGGGGTTCTGGGGCTCCTGGAGGCTGCAGGAGCCCCAGGGAGAGAGAAGTGGGGCATGTGCTTGTGACTTTGGATTTGCCTGTCACACGAGGACTGTCTGGGGCTGGTGTGGGGCCATTGTGGGCTCGAGCGCTGGGTCCTGCCCACCCCATGCCCCATGACTGGGTGTCCTGCCTCTAGAGAGGCCGTGTCTTCTGCTGCTTCTTATTGGCTTTGGGGCATGTGGCCTCCTCTGGGAGCCTTGGTTTCCCCACTTGTAAGATAGGGTGTTGCAGGGACTTAGTGGGATCTGGACCTGCCCATGATGATACTTTTTGCTCATCTGCAAAATAAGGCAGGTGTGCCGGTAAGGAAATTAGGTAAAAGTGGAGCATGCAAAGGATGTGCACCCGAAGGCTGGGGCCTGGCTGGTAGGGGGCCTGGCCTCCTCCCCCCCCTCCCATCCCTGAAACTGAGACTCAGTGGGCACCTCTGCTGGCCCCCACCTGCAGCCTCCTCCGGGGGTACCCTGAGCATTGAGCAGCTTCCCTATGCGAAGGTAGGAATGGCCAGTAGTTAGAAGCTCTGCTATTTGGCAGTTGACCTCCCTGTGCCTCAGTTTCCCCTGTAATCGCTGAGGTGCCCTGAGGAGTAACTGAGACAGGCCTGGTGTGGCTGTGCCCAGCACGCTGATCCATGTGGCTGGCACCTTCCTGCCATCCTGCTGGTCAAATCTCAAGCCAGTTTGTTCCAGGAACACCGGGTCCTGGGTGGGCCAGCCTGGCTGGGGGACCTTCGGGATTCACTGAGATCCACTGTGGGAAATGAGGTGCTCAGGGGACCCCTCCCCAGAAGCTGGATTCTTCCAGCACAGCCTGGCAGTCCCACAAGTACTGATCCTCCAAGTCTGTGGCAAGGGCTGGGCACCCGGCCCCAGGGATCCCACAAAGGGTTAAGGGGCGCGGGCGGCCGTGCCCACAGCGGGGCGGAGCAGCCTGGCTGGTGAGGGGCCAGGATCGTGGATGAAGGCGCTGCATTTTAATGAATAAGTATTGCTGGGGAGTCTTTGTCTTTCTTTATCCGGTGCACAATAAAAGAATTAATTAGACAGAAAATGGCAGGGCAAGGGACTGACAAGTCATTACGGCTGCTGAATGATGGTGAGAGGCACGCTGGGGCGGATTCTGGCTCCGGAATGATAATGGCCAGCCGGGTGCTTTGTATGCATGGCCAGCAGGCCTCCGCGGGCACTATTGCTTGGGCAGAGCAGGGAGCGAGAATCCGTGGGGCAACACCCGCATGTTTTTTTCAGTGTCCAGACCCGGTGGTAAATGTTTAGACATGGAGGGGACTTGAGGTGTTTGTTCTGCCCCCAGACGTTACTTCCCAGCTGCGGGGCAGATGCCGGCAGCGGGGCTGTGATGGGGTTCTCCCCACACCGCAAGAAGCAGAAGGTAGGGGTTGGGGGAGGAGAAGGCTGGGAGAGGTGGGGAGAGGAGGGGGACCTGATGGACGCAGAAAGAAACTTCTGGAGCCAGGCTGCACCCAGCCTGTGCTGTGGCTGCTACGGTTATTTAGACGTCACCAGGAAAAAAGTGCCACCCACAGACCCGGCGCTCCTGCTCTGAAGCACTGAGCTCCTCACAGGCCTGTGCCCCTCACGTGGCCACGAAGCATCCAGAGAGGGAAGCCCAGGCCAGGGCTGCTGGGTCCTCCCCAGAGAGGGTAAGTGCAGAGAGGCTGGTGCATTAGGATCCCATCGTTGGGTTCTGCTGCCTATGGCCTCTGGCAGGCGGGGGCTCAGTCTGTCCTGTCTCTGTGACCCAGTGGCCCCGAGGGCTGGATTTGGAACCTGCCCTAGAGCTCCCTGGTGTCCTGTTGGAAGGGTCCTCTGCTTCAGAGCTGGAAGGGAGGGGATGAAACCCCAGACCTACTGGACCATGCAGAGTGTCAGCCAGCCAGTCAACACACTTCCTGCATTGGATGTGAAGGGGCAGGGGACATTCATGGGACACCACCGTTGTGGGCTCTGCGAGGCCCAGCACCTGACATGGTGGCATTCCTTGGGGGCTGTAACAGCTCCTCGCCTTAAATCCACTGAAGATCGCAGAGGGAGGTGCCAGCAGCCCGATGTGCAGGTGATAGAAGTGTAGCTTGCCCAGGTTGTGTCCCTGTGCAAGAACTTGAGCCCTGCTGGCCACAGGGTGGTATACTGTGCTGCTGGACGATGGTCCCTAGCCAGCAAGACCTTCACGGAAAGGGCTGCTC